GAACTTAAGGACTGCACAAAGTGAAAGAGAAGCAAACTAGTGGCCCCTCAGCATTAGATGTCCTAGGCATGGACACCCACAGCAAGCAGTACAAGCACTGCACACTGAGGGACCAGGGTCACAAGATACAGTGACAGCTTCTGTTGTTGTTAATGTTACTGTGATAACTGTTACTAAAGAAGGAGGAGAGAGCTAGAGAGATGACTCAGTAGTTAGGAGCACTTCTTCTTCCAGAAGCACCCACTGTGGGTGGCTCACAAAGCTCATTCCAGCTCTCCAAAGGACCTGATGCCCTCTTCTGGCCTCCATTCACACACATGGCATACATTCATACAGACACACAGAAACATTTAAAAACAAAAGGAAGAGAAATATGTCTCCAGGAGATAGTAAAAAAGACAACTGCCTGTGTGATGGCCCAGAGGCCAGGAACAGAGTACACATACAGAACTGCCAACACATCCATACCTCTGAGTGTGAGACGACTGGAGCCAGGCCATCAAAGTGCCTGACTAAAGCAACTGAATTACACCTTGCAAGCTGAGCAGCCACAGTAGAAAAGGATATGATCATTCAATAAGATCAGCATTTACCAGATCACTTCTGATAGATGTAGAAGATAGAAGGCAATCAAAGAGAATAATGAGGTGACTCAAATATCATGCAGGCAAAAAAAGATCTGAACCCAGAAGGGAGAAGTGAGAATGAGCAGGAAAACATTTATAAAGAAGGTGGTAGGCCGGAAAGATGGCTCAGAAGGTAGAGGCGCTTGCTGCCAAGGCTGAGTTCAATCATGGGGATCCACATGAAGTAGAGAGCTGAGCTGATCCCTGAAAGTTCTCTTCTGACCTCCCCATGTGTACTGTAGCAAGAATCTCTCTCTCAATTCAAGGCCAGCCTAGTCTACATGGAGAGTTTCAGGCCTGCCAAGGTACAGTGAGAACTTGCCTCAAAAAAAAAAAAAAAAAAAAAAGTTAAAAGGGTTCAGCAGGGAAAGGCTCTTGCCATTTAAGCCTGACATCTTGAGTTCAATTTCTAGAAAATACATAAAGGTATAAGGACAGAGAAAACTGTTTGTTCTCTGACCTCCACATATGCACTGTAGCAGCATCACACACTTTTAAGTCATAACAAAATGCTTCATGTGTGAAAAGATATAATATTTTAACCTTGTTTCAAAAAATCCAAAAAAAAAAAAAAAAACCAACTAAAAAAAAAAGCCAGGAACAGCAGCAAGTATCTACAATCCAAGCACTAGGAGGTGGAGATGAGAAGATCCCTAGCTCATTGGCCAGGTAACCAAGCCTATTAAATGAGCTCCAGGTTCAGTGACACCCTGTCTTAAAAAAATATGATGGATGGCGATAGAAGATGACATCCAACATTGACCTTTGGCCTCCATATGCATATATATGTATACATACCTATACATATACATGCACACACTCACACAAACATGTATATATACCGCACACACATATTTTAAAAAATTAAGAAATCTGGGTGGTGGCGGTGCACCCCTTTAATACCAGCACTCGGGAAGCAGAGGTAGGTGGATCTCTGAGTTCGAGGTCAGCCTGGTCTACAGAGTGAGTTCTAGGACAGCCAGGGCTACACAGAGAAACTCTGTCTCAAAAATCCAAATAAATAAAAAAGAAAGAAATAGGTTGGTAAGATACCTCAAAAGGTAAAGGTACTTGCAAGACAAGTCTGCCAATTTGAGTTTGATCCTCAGGACCCACATGGCAGAAGGAAAATTGACTCCCCATGTAAGTTATGTATACACACACACAGACACTCAGAAATAAGTAAACATTAAAAAAAAATTTAGGCCAGGGGTAGCAACACATGCATTTAAACCCAGCACTCAGGATTCAGAAGCAAGTGGATCTCTGCAAGTATGAGGCCAGCCTAGTATACATAGTGAGTTCTAGGCCAGCCAGGGGTACATAGAGAGACCATGTCTCAAAAAAACAAAACAAAATAAAGAAATAAATAATTTGATTTAATTAGGGACCAGCAAGACAGCTCAGCATGTAAAAATGATTGCTTAGGGTATGGAAAGATGGCCCAGTGGTTAGAGCACTGGCTGACCTTCTAGAAGACCTGGGTTCATTTCCTGGCACCCACACAGTGGCTTAGAACTATCTGTAAATCCACACACATATAAAACAATATAATACTTTTTAAATGTTAAAAGAAAAAAGGAAAAAAAAAACTGCTGCTGGGCCTAATGACTTGAGGTTGATTTTGAAAACCCACTTGGTGAAAGGAGAGGCCCAACTCCCACAAGCTGACCTTTGTCCTCTGACCTCCACACAGCACCTAAACTATGGCCCATATGTGTACACACATGTATATGCGTTCATACACAAATAAATACATGTAAAATTTTTAACTAAATTAGAGTAAAATGAGGTAAATGAAACAAACTATGAGAAATATAGAAATTTTAGGGGCTGAAGCTAAAACTCAGTAGTATAATGCTTGCCTAAGATCTCCAACACCATACCAAAAAAAAAAAAAAAAAAGAAAAGAAAAGAAAAGGAAACAACATTCTGTCATAATATATACACTTTAATTAAGGTCTCATTTCTTTTTATTAAAAAATGTGACTCGCTGGTGGTGGCGGTGGCGGTGGCGGTGGCGGCGGCGGCTGCTGCAGCAGTGGCACATGTCTTTAATCCCAGCACTTGGGAGGAAGAGGCATGTGGAGGATCTCTTGTGAGCTCCAGGACAGCCTGGTCTACAGAGTTCCAGGACAACCAGAGCTACACAGAGAAACTGTTTCAAAAAACAAAAACAAAGGGCTGGAGAGATGGCTCAGTGGTTAAGAGCACTGGCTGATCTTCTAGAGGATCCCAGTACAATTCCCAGCACCTACATGGCAGTTCACAACTGTCTGTAACTCCAGGATCTGACACCCTCACACAGACATACATGCAGGCAAAACACCAATATACATAAAACACAAATAAATAAATTTAACAAATAAAAATATACTCCAATCTGAAAATACAGAAAAATACCATTTCTGCCAAATTTTGAAATGTTCTTAAGTAGGAAAATGTGAAGGAAAAAAGTTTATGGCATATGCCCATAATCTCAGCACTTGGGAGGCTGAGTCATTAGAGTTCTAGGCCAGTGTAGGCTACATAGCAAGACTCTTATCTCAAAACAACCAAGTTTAGACTTAGCACATTTTTACACCGATCAAAGGATTGGTAGGGAACATAAAACTAAGGCAGCCATGTAACTACATTCTCAAGTACTTAACAGATACTAAATATTTCAGACACACCATAGAACACTGACTGTTGGCTGTATTTCTGCCATGCCAAAGAACTCTGGTCCAACAATAGGGGTTACAGTATTATAACACCCCAGATTTACCAATAATTAGAGGTAAAACCTTAAACATTACACACATCTCTTTAAAAAGTAGCCCTCAATATATTCACTACCATAAAACCAAGGAAAGTGCAACATGAAATCTAATATACTGATCATAGAGGTCAGCAAGTCCTGGCACAAAACAATTGTTAAAAAGTGGAAACACGGGGGCTGGAGAGATGGCTCAGCAGTTAAGAGCACTTCCAAAGGACCGGGGTTCAATACCCAGCACCCACATGGCAGAGCTCACTGACACCTTCACACAGATACACATGCAGGAAAAACACCAATGCACATAAATAAAAATAAATCTTTTTTTTTTTTTTTTTTTTTTTTTTAAAGAGAAGTGGAAACACAGTTACACAGGTCCTCCAGCTCCTAGGCACTCAGAACTTCAGGCTATCTCCCCATTCAAGCCCTCCAAAAGGCTGGAAAGAATGTGTCACTTTGGACCCTTTATGTTAATATACGCACTCATTATCCAACAAGAGCAGCTAGAACATAATGAGGGTAAGATTCAGTCTACATTATCTAAAGATTTCCCAAAAGTCTAAATATTTAGGTTACACAGACTGCATTATTCTGATTTACCCATTACACTACTTTGGACTTACATGGAGCAGCTCACACCAAACAATCTTAACTATATTGTTCTCTAACTCTCAAGGAAGGCCAGGCTGACAGAGGACTTCTAGCACTACTTATCAGTTCTTGGTCCTTCCTCTCACTTCCTCACTCTCATGCCTTAAACTCTGTCCTCTGCTTAGTCCTAACTTAAGAGTTTTTTTTGCCATCTCTGAACAACAGATCAGAAAGAGCCATAAGAGACAAAGAACCACCATCATGGAAAGCTTTTTTATCAAATGGTCACTGTCCACACTGCCCAAGTAAGGTCCACCCTATGAAAAGAAAGGGCCTGTTTCAATGGGCTACCTGTTGAAAAAAATTAGTGTAAGGGTTCATGCACTGGCCTAAGGAGCAGTAGGGCATTCAAAGAGTTGTACACATAAACCTTAATATACTATATGAAACTTCAGAGTAAACAAATGGTTAATGACACATCTTTTGTAACACATGAATCAGCTACTGATTTGCAAAAGTAGGACACACCCAAGTTCATATGACTCTAAAGTACCTGTTTGAAAATGGACCTCGAAGTCTGAATTGCCAACCCATCTACCAGGTTTGGAACAGAATTTTACAAGTATGTAAGCTATAATAATTTAAAGGTAAAAAGATGAACTCACCATTATAATAAAAGTTAATTTGAGAACTTCATTAATATTTTAACACCAATAATCAAGAACAGCAATAATACAAATCCTAAGAAGCTAATAGTTCTGAGGATGAGTATCCTGTAAGGTAAGTGAAGAGCAGCAAATTCAAGAACATTCTAGATAGATCTGGGGCATAGGCCAACATCTATAATCCTAGCATTTGGAATGTTGAGGCAGGATGTTCATGAAGTTAAGGCCATGCTCAGCAACCTAAAAAGTTCCAGGTCAGCCTGGGCTACAATGAGACCCTGTCTCAAACACAAATAGGTGAATCAACATTCCTGATTCTACAATACTATGAAGTAATAAGGAAAAGCCAATATATCTTACCTTAAGAGGCATCCAAATAGCATTCATAGTGTCAGGAATAGTTCAGACGAGACTCAGAAATAAGCAGGAAGAGACTAAGTAATTCCTTCAGTTACCGCGGATAAGGAAGTGGGAAGATCTGAAAAGGAGGATTTTTCATTTAGATGAAAATAATTTAGAATATGTAAATGTTATTCTTATTTATTCTTATTCTGTCTGGGAAGGATGTTAAGTGCCAACTGCCTTACTATCCTAAAAAGAGTACGAGTGCTGCTGGGTGTGGTGCACACCTTTGACCCCAACACTCAGAGGAGGCTGAGGCAGGCTGTGACCTAAGAGTTCAACACAAACCTGGTATATATAGTGAGTTTGGGGCCAGGCAAGGCTACTTACTGAGATGATATCAAAACAAAACAAAAAAAGGGTACAATATACAATTCCCTTTGGAAAGGGTATATGTATATCTCTATGTGTGGAAATATTTTACATCAAAGGAGAACATAAATTTTAAATAATCGGAAATTACTTATCAAAGATTCAGAAAACCAAAATCCCAGATGAAAAGTTATTCTCCCAGAGTATTTCATAAGCACTACTGAAGATGATTTATTAACTAACCACCTGAAAAAGTCTACAGCTACTTTTATTTAATAAACTTAAAACCTCTCTGACAATTCTGATGTCCTAACTTTTCTTAAAATTAAGTTTCAGAGCTGATTCTAAATAATAATAATAATAATAATGTCTATTCTTCACTGAAGTACTACAAGCAAAAAAAAGGGGCGGGGGGGGGGCCCTTCTTGCCCAGAGATATTTTTTTTAATTTTCCAGAGCTGAGGACCGAACCCAGGGCCTTGTGCTTGCTAGGCAAGCGCTCTACTACTGAGCTAAATCCCCAACCCCTGCCCGGAGATCTTTAAAAGCAGATCAGAGGAATTCATTTTGAAGATGGAGGATGTTAAGTTTGTAGGAACTCAGAAGGGTGGACTAAATGACCCCTTGTAGGAGCCTTAAGTCCTAGGCCTGAATGAAAATTCCAGCTTAACCAGTTACTGCTTCACTTAAAATGGAGGCTAGCCCGAGTAGGAACACAAAAAATAACACGCTCACCTCCTTAAAAATAATTTCTTAAAATCAGGGTCGAGGTCCCCCGTTTTAAAAATGAAATAAAGCTCTGGAGTGGGTCTGCTCCAGTCTCCGCGGTTGTCACATCGGTTAGGGAGACTTGGCATCACTTTGCCTACCGCTCATCGGATCTGGGGGGTGGGGGCCGGAGGAGTTTGACTCCTGACCCGACTCTCAGGCAAGCCTGAGCGCCCCCCCCCCGCCCCGCCCCGCTCCCGGACCCCGTGACGCGCCGCGCCGCGACCCCCCAGCTCCACAGAACCGCGGGGCCGACATCCCAGAGAGCGCCAGTCCGCGCCCCTCCCCCGCCTCGGACCCTCGTCCCGGAGCCTCCCCCACCCCCCGCGGCCCGCGACTCCTCCGGCCCGGTCCCCATTGTTAGGAGGGGGCGGCCGGGGCCGGGGCTCGCGGCCCGGGGCCCGGGGCCGCTGCCCGACTTGCCTCAGGAGGGGGCGGCCCGCGGGATGCCGCTTCCCGTCCTGTCCGCCGCGGTCCGTCCCACCTCGCTCGGCCTGGCGCCCCGGGGCTCCTCTCGGCGGCGCCCCCCGCCCACGGCCCGCCGGCCGCCAGGCGCCGGGTCCGCCGCGGCCCACGGCCCGAGGCCCAGGCCTTGCGGGTGGGCGCCGGCCGGGGGTCCCCGCGCCCCACACACGCGTCCCCGCGTCCTCAGCCCGGCCGCCTTCAGGGCCCTCGGCGGCGCCCGCTCCCGCGACCCCTCAGCTTCCCTCCGCCCCGCGGCGGCGCCCCCCGCGGCGTCCCCGGGACGGGACGCCCCACTCTGCGCCACCATCACCCCGACCCGCCGCGCCCCCACCCCCCGGGGCAGTAGTGCCAACGGCAGCTCCCCCGGCCCCGGACCTACCTGCACGGCTCAACCAAGCCTAGAGTGGGGGGGGGCGGGCAAGCTTCCGCCCTCCTCTGTCTCTCATTGGCCCGTCGAGGGCAATTCGCGAGTGCCATTGGCTGAGAGTGGACGTCTGTCAGAGCTGTGGGGCGGGACGGTGGAGCGGGGGGAGAGATGCTGGTGCCTCGGCGTCTCTGTCTCTGTATCTCTCTATCTCTGTCTCGGCCCTAGGAAAGGAGAGGCTTGAGCTGGACGGAGCTGGAAGGGGGCCTAGTGGGAGAAATAAGAATAAGAATCCCTACAGTGCTTCACAGCAATCCATCACTCAACCCCTGGCCTCGGTCCCTCAGGTCCTCTTCCCTGTCACCCCCAATCCCTGCCCCTCACCCTTCCAGGTTCTTCATCCAGGAAGCGATGTGATGAAAACCCGGCCCGGAAGGCCATAGGGAGAGAGATTTTGTATGTGTACATTAAACATCCACATATAAATGTTTATGTATAAAGCCAACCAGATTTGAGGTCATGAGGGCCTGGAAAGGCCACACATCTCACAGACCAGGAAGGAATTGAGAGAGAGCTGATTGTCAAAAATCACTCTCAGAGGTGGTAACAGTGGTTACCTCCTGGGATGAAATGGACTACCCAGCAGACCAAGGGAGAGAAAGACTTAATCTCAGGCACATCCTTTGTAGATATTAATTTTCATACCATTCCTAAGCATTCCAATTAAAAAATATATATATATTAATTAGCCAAGCGGGATGGCCTACGCCTGTGATTCTAGCACAAGACACTAAAGTAGAAAAGTATTAAGTTCAAGAGCCAGCTCGGGCTACATGGAGAGTATTTCAAAAAAAAAAAAGTTTTTAAATTTTAAATCCGGCCACAAAATCAGAAACAAACCACAAAAACACGGCCCACAGAATCAACCAACCAGAGCTCATAGGTGCTCACACAGACAGACCGACAATCAGGGAGCCTGTATGGGTCTGACCCAGGTCCTCTGCATATATGTTATGGTTGTGTAGCTTGCCGTTCTTGCGGGACTCCCAACAGTGAGAGCAGGGGCTGTCTCTGACTCTTTTGCCTGCTTTGGGGGCCCTCTTCCTCCTACTGGGTCGCCTCGTCCAGTCTTGATGTTAGGTTATGTGCCGACTCTTATCGTAACTGTTTATGCCATGTTTGTTTGACATTCCTGGGAGGCCTGCTCTTTTCTGAAGGGGAAAGGAAGAGGAGTGAATCTGGGGTAGAGGGGAGGTGGGAGGGACTGGGAGGAGAGGAGGGAGGGGAAACTGGGATGTAATATATGAGAGAAGAATACATTTTTAAAAAAGAAAGGAAGGAAGGAAGAAAAGAAAAACAGGACAACGTCCAGACTTAGCCGGGAGTCTTACTTTTTTAATTTGTTCAGTTTCAAATACCAGTAAGAAATGAATGTTGTCCCGAGGAATTCCATAACACAAAAGAGAGTAAACAATCCACAAATGACGAGCTTGACATGCTAAAGGATCGACTTTCCCAAATCGTAAAAAGAAAAACACAGCTAAAATTAGGACGAAAATAATGGCGAGACAGCATGAAGGCAGAGGAGCAAGGGTCTATTGCAAAACGAATACGAAAACTATGAGCGAGCCTTGGGTCTTGAAGCTACTTAAAGGACTCTTTAGGCCCTAGTAGACATGTGACATAAGAGCTAAAAAGAAAATACCCATAAATCAGAAGTCTTCACTTTTTTCAGTCTTAGTGACACAAAGAGACTTTTTCTCAGAATGTTTCTATAAATCATATTAAATGCATCTAGGATCCCAGGAGGATCACCTGGGGTACAGAGAAATCCAAAGAAAACTAGTTATACTAAAATACAGTTTTGATTTTTTTAAAGATGTTTATGGGTATGTATATGTATGTAAAATGCACTGTGTACATGCCTGGTGTCCTTGGAGGCTAGACACTGATCTCTGGAGAGACTGGAGTTACAGACTGCTGGAGCTACTGTGTGGGTGCTGGAAACCAAGCCTGTGTCTTATGAAAGAACAAATACGTGCTCTTAACCTCGGAACCATCTCTAGCCCCTAAAATTTTGGGACAGGCATGGTAATACATGTTGTTAATCAAGGACCTGGAAAACTGTTAACAAAAAAAAAAAACAGTTTTCAAAATATTGCTAAAAAATATACTAGAGCAATATAGGTGCCTTTTAATAATAACCAAGTAATAATTAATTGAATGACCATTCTAACTTTGAAGTCATAAATGAGTCATTTTTTAAGGAAATCTGAAACAACTGTCATACACTATGAAGCTATGACATGTTGGTGACAAAGTCACAGGTACCGCTAAAACCACTAAGATTTTGTCTACGTTCACAATTGGAGGAAATGTTAATTTTCTCATTATTTGGAGCAAAACTTGATGGAGTTCCTAATCTATGGACCATAGACTTTAAAAAACAAAAACAAAAACAAACAAAAAACCTAACCTAAAGAAAGTATCCCCTCCACCTTCCATGTACTCTTGGTCCCTCCTTCTCATCTTTCTCCCCTCCCTTGCCTCCAAACACTTTCCTGTTCCCTCACACCTGCAGAAGTCTGCCTTCCCTGTGGCACAAAGAGCAAGGGACCAGGAGGAGAACTGAAGAAAAGAAAGGCTATGTATGCATCTTGTCTTTCTTCAAAGAAGAGGCAAGGGCAGGGGGAACAGTTCAGTGGGAGTGCTTGCCCAGCATGCCCGAGGCCAGAGGGAGAGAGGACACCCTAAGGCATGATGCAGTTCTATGGTCACGAGGAAACAGAAGCTTGGGTGTGATGCTATTCGTTATGTCCTTAGTTATCCTCAAGAATAAGGATAACATAAGAAGACATCTTTAGCCAAGTGTGGTGGTGCTGGCATCCCTGCACTTGAGAGGCTGAAACAGGAAGATGCCAATTGGAGGCTACCTTGGGCTACACAGCAAGACTTATCTTTATTTTACTTATCCTGAATCCTGCATTTAAATTACAGGAGGGGTTGTGAATCTGAGTGGAAATGGAACGGGCACAGAAGGAACTGGAGGAGGAGGACACAGGGATGGTAATTACGTAAATAATGTACAAACGTGTGAAAGACTTAACTTTTCAAATAAAAAAGTTCCCTATCAGTCCACATTTTCTCAGTTGACTAATTCTGCTTAGATCACCTTCAGTGTAGTTCCTTGCTTATTGTCTACAAATGGGCCAGAGCAGGGGATTTAGAGGTGGCTCCTTGGTTTAAAGTGCCCACTCTTGCAGAAGACCTGGGTTAAGTCCCTGGCACCGACCTGGTGGCTCACAACCATCTGGAACTCCAGTTACAGGGCATCTGATGCCCTGATCTGACTTCCACAGACAGTCACATGGTATACATGCATACCTGTAGGCACAAGCTCAAACACATAAAACTAAATAAATCTTCTTAATTTACTGGGTTAGGACTGGGTTGCCTAGCATATCTAGGTTCTATCCCCAGAACCAACACATACATACATACATACACACATATATGCATACATGCATATACATATATACATCACACACACTTACTTACTTACTTATTTGATTGCTTCTAAACCAAGTGTGGCAGTTCACACTGTAATTCCAACACTCCGGAGAAAGAAAGCTAACTCCAAATTTGAGACTACTCTAGTGAGTTTCAGGCCAGCATGGGCTTCAGAATGAAACCCTGTCAAAAAACCCGCCCAAAAAAGGAGCCAGGCTTGGTGACATCTGCCTATAATCCCTGCACTTAGGAAGTGGATGCAAGAGGTCATCCTCAACTACAGTCAGCCTGGACTGTAGCCGGAAGTTTCTATCCCACCCGGTCCTGCAACTTCCGGCTACACTGGACTACATGAGAGTCCGTCATAAACAAACAAGAAAACCTCCTCCAGAAATGGGAAGGCTAATAATAATAGTAGTAGTAATAGTAGTAGTAGTAGTAGTAGTAGTAGTAGTAGTAGTAGTAGTAGTAGTAATAGTAGTAGTAGTAGTAGTAGTAGTAGTAGTACTAATAACATGCTTTCCTGTTAGGGCTGTTATGAGGATTAAGTTAGTTAATATAGGTAATGGGTTGGTTTGTTTGTTTTTGTTTGTTGAGAAAGGGTTTCACTGTGTAGCTTGGTTATCCTGGAACTCATTCTGTAGACCAGGCTGGAACTCACAGAGATTCTCCCTGCCTCTGCCTCCTGAGTGCTGGAATTAAAGGGGAGTGCCACCACTGCCCAGTCATACTCAATATTTAAATACCATTATTACTATTTTTTTTTTTGGTTTTTTGAGACAGAGTTTCTGTGTATCTTTGGAACCTGTCCTGGATCTCACTCCGTAGACCAAGCTGGCCTCGAGCTCATGGAAATCCACTTGCATCTGCCTCCTGAGTGCTGGGATTAAAGGGATGCACCACCACTGCCCAGCTATTACTATATTTTTAGTATCTTATATTCCAGACCATCCCATGAAAATTCTGTGATGATTATTTGTATTAATGATATGGGAGACAACAAATTAGATTAATAAGAAGGCCTACCCCAACTCTTGTTTCTCACTTAAATATTTCAAAGTTTGACTATTCCATTTTTTTTCCCAATTCTATTTTCCATTCTGTTGGGAAGGAAGACCAGTCTCTCTTTAAAAACCTTGCAAATTCACTCAGTGGGAAGGGGGGCATGCTCTAATGATAAGAGGCTAATTCCCAAAGGCCATGCATATATCAACGCAAATCAATGAAGACCAGCAAACCCTGTCACTACTGGAATGACCCCTTTAGAAAAGACTTGGATATAATCTTGTGAAATTGAAGCTGCACATACTCTGTGTCTCAGCAGCCCTACTACCAGCCATATAGAAAATGCAGAATCATAGTATCAGTGTTGCCTACAAGAACATTCACAATAGCAGTGTGCCCTTGGCCTCCAGCTGGAAATATCCCAGATTGCTTACCATAGCATGGTTCAATTGTGGGTTATGTTTGGTTTGGTTTGGTTTGGTTTGTAGGTTGATTTCAGCATTTGGCTGTTGCTTGGGGGGTTTGTTTGGTTTTGGTTTGATGTTTGTTGTTGTTTGTTTGTTTTAAGACAAGCTCT